ACGCCGCCACGCCACCGTGATCTCATGTCATCCCTGTGGGTGAGGGGTGGGACAGGACACGTGCCCGTCAGGCGTGAACACACGCCGCCACACCACCGTGATCTCATCACACCCCAGTGGCAGCATAATGGGGACTGATGAATATGCAGGGGCAGAGCCCTGTCTGTGTGGAGATTCTGTGTACTGTGAAGCTGGATTTCAGTGTAACTGGCGGGTTGTGTATTTAATAACTAGTGCTGGCAAACTGTGCTGTTTGTATGGGAGGGAGTGGGGCGGGGACGCTGCTTCCTGCTTTACAAATACAACGCAATCCCCGTGGATGAGGACTTACATGTAAAAAATGAAGCAAAAATCTCAACACTATTTCAGAGGCAATACAGAGTCTAGAGTTTGAAGGAGTCATTTTAACCAAACAAAACTCCAAAGCAGGAAAAGACAGACATTTAATTTTAGTAAAATAAAACATATAGGTATTATAAAAATGCTATAAGCAAAGTTAATAGGCAGACAGTAGATTGGGAAAGTTACTGGTAATTCTCCTGACAGATAATGGGTCAGATAGCTCCTGTAAATTAATGAGAAAGGCACACGACACCTTCTTTACTTTTAAAAAGAGGGGAAGAAACCTAAGGTTATGAACAGCCAGCTCCAGGTGGCCAAAAACATGAGAAGATGCTCAGACTCACTGGTTGTTAGAAGGGAGCGCCCACTTACTTCGCACCAAACTGTCTCTCGTGTGTCAGATGGGGGAATGCAAAGTGCCACAGGCAGGTGCTGGTAAAGACACCCCCTCAGTCCGGGCCTGGGCTTGTTGCAGTCTTTTGGGGAGTAGCTGGATGAGAACTGTTGAGTTAAAACCACCCAATCCTCCACCCCAGTGTGGCCTCCTCCCAGGAGACGGGAGTGGCCATCACAGCTTATCTGTGTAAGGGCTCGTGGCCCAGGCGCCAGCCCGTCAGGGCTTCCTCATTAGCACAGGGCTGGTGCTGCATCTGTCACCTGCAGGGGCTTCTGTAACGTGCTGTCAGGGTGAGAAAAGCAGACTGGTACACAGTGATGCTGCCCCACGCCTTTGCCTGTAAAGGAGGTGCTAGGACAACACAGAATGTTGTGGAAGTGTGTGTGCCGGGCTGTTAGTGTCGGCCGCCTGGGGGGAAGGCGAAGACAGACGACGGCGATGGTCTCAAGGACTGAGCAGGAAGTTTCTAGCTTGAGTGGTGGGGAGCACAGAGGATGTGGCTGGGCCGGGAGGGTCCCGCCCTCAGACAGTAGTGGCCGCAGCGTGGTGTGTCTCGTCTGCAGACTTGTGAGCGGCAGTTCCGTTGAAGAGAAGCTGCTGAAGAATGGCACGAAAGACTTGATCCGAGAGGTGGCCGCTCAGGGGAACGACTACTCCATGGCCTTCCTGACGCAGGTACTGCGTTGTGGCTGGGCGGGCCTAGCTGGGGGAGCGCGGTGCGCGACACGGGGCTGTGGCAACCCTTGCGCTCCCCCTGGGTGCTGAGGGATGCGCCTTCTCCTTCTCAGCGCACGATCCAGGAGCTGTTTGAGGTGTACTCTCCCATGGAGGACACGGGCTTCCCGGTGAAGGCGGAGGAGTTCGTGGTCCTCTCTCAGGAACCTTCTGCCACAGAGACCATCGCACCTAGAATTGCAAGACCGTTCATAGAGGTGAGAACGACATCCTGCCCGGCCTGAGGCCAGCTGGCTAAGGGGCATCCGTGGTGCTGTCTCCGGAGCAGCTGCGCTCACTCCACCCTGCTCCACCGCTCAGTCCTGCTCCCTTCCCTGCCCTGAGCATGCTCCTTCCCCGGCCTCACCTCCCGACCCTTCACTGTGTCCCTAAACCAACGAATTACCTGTAGGGAGGCTCATCGATGGCTGTAAGTTAATTGTATATAGCATAGCTCTTCAGAACTCCTCAATTTTAAAAATATGTATCAGAGTGACCTCAGTGTGAAATCCCCCAGGCCCTCAAAAGTATTGAGTATCTGGAGGAGGATGCACAGAAGTCCTCTGAAGAGGCAGCATCGCAAACAGGGGCCGACATCTCATCACCTGACGGAGCCCACCCGAGACTGGAAGAGGAGCCGTCTCAGTTAGAGGAATTAGCCGACTTCATGGAGCAGGTTGGGGATCTTCCCTTTTGTATTTAAACCTAATTGTTCTTTGTCTTAGCTAAATATTGTCAACATTTGACCCCTCTATAAAATATTTCTTACTTGCTTTGACCAAGAACAATCACCTCTGGGTTTGAAATACTGGCGAGTGATGATACAAGGCGCTCAGCCGAAACTTGCTGTTAACACTGTCTAAAAAATCTACGTTGAAACAGCTTACACCCATTGAGAAATATGCTCTGAATTACCTGGAATTGTTCCACACTTCCATTGAGCAAGGAAAGGAGAGAACCAGCGAGGTAAGGGAGTCGACTTCTGATTATTTTAACACGTAAGGAATCTCACGTTCCTCAGTGTTGAGTTTGGTTTGAAGTAAACCTGACTTGCATAGACTTGAAGAAACAAAGCAAAGCCCACCTGTGTAGAAACTAACTTAAAATGAGAGTCTTAGAAAACTCTGTGTGGGCACCTGTCCAGCTTTTCTTTCCTTTGGTATCTTTTCATTCGATTTGAGGCAGCTTGCTTGGTGTTTGGTAAAACGTCCTGTGTTTGAAAGAAAAATGGCCCCCAAAACGTGTCTCAGTGGATAAGAGAGACTCGGGTTGTGTCAGAGAGAACTGGAGGGTTTTGTCTGTGCTTGACAGATGGTGCTTGAAGGGAGAAGAGAGGGAGAAGGTGGGAACGGCGGGGCCTTAAAAAGGGCATGGGACAGTATCGTGCCCCCTGCCACTGCTTGTGGGAGCACTTTCTCCATTGCTGTTCCTGCAGGTCGTGGCCACGGCTTCGATGAAGGAGTGGGAGGCCCAGAACGCAAAGACCCTGCAGGAGAGGGAGGCCAGGGCGCACGAGGAGGCCCCGGAGGAGGAGCTGCTCACGTACACGAGGGATGACGCGTACAACATGGTGCGTGCGCGCCCCCCCGGTGCCGGCGTAGCCACGTCTCCATCCACATCTGAGCTGTTCAAGGCTGTTTGTTCTCAGGAGAGCACTTCCCCGTGCTGTTTCACTCCTCCTACCGAAACATTGTAACTCAGGCCTTAAAAGCATCCATTGTATAGTAACTCACGTTCTATTAGAGACTTTTTGTTAGGTAATCTGCTAGCGGTGGTGAAAAAGCACTTGCAAGTCCTACACATAGTGATGTTGGTCATACTTACTTTGAAGGCTTCATAAGTCTTGTGGCTAACAGCATGACACCAGGACTTTGCCAGACTTTAAAACTTGCCCATATTCCCCACAGGAATACATCTATGAAGACGCAGATGGACAGACAGAAATTATGCCGGTGAGTGATTCCGTTTCCGTTGGTGTCGGAGTTGGCCTGATGTTCATTAGTGACACGGCTAACGGAATTGCCTTTCTGCACACAGCTGTGGACGCCGCCCACTCCCCCGCAGGATGACAACGACATCTACATCGACTCAGTCATGTGCCTCATGTATGAACCCACTCCCATTCCTGAGTCCAAGCTGCCCCCTGTGTACGTGAGGAAGGAGCGGAAGCGGCACAAAACCGACCCCTCAGGTACCCGTCCCGTCCACACCGTGGGGCTCTCGGTGCTGGTTGTCCATAGTGCACCCCTTCCCACCACCTGTGAGGGGAACCAGCAGCCGCAGGGCGTCTGTTGCTGTCTTGGGCCGTGGCCATGGTTGCACATCTTTTGTTCCGTCTTTATGTAGTGATGCTCTGGCAGTCGGGAGACCCTTTGTGCTCACGGCTGTGATTACCACTAGAAGCCAGGAGGTGGCTTTGTCGTCCCGCGGGCTCTTAGTGGTCCCTGTGCTGGCTCCCCTTTCCCGGCCCCTGCTGCTTCTGAGCTGTGTGAGGCGGAGCTGCCCTGAAGCGCTGCCCCTCTGTCCAGCTGCAGGCAGGAAGAAGAAGCAGCGGCACGGGGAGGCGGTTGTGCCGCCCCGCTCCCTGTTTGACCGCGCCACGCCAGGCCTACTGAAGATGCGCCGAGAGGGCAAGGAGCAGAAGAAGAATATTCTCCTGAAGCAGCAGACGCAGTTTGCCAAGCCCCTGCCGACTTTCGCCAAACCAGCGGCCGAGTCAGGCCAGGACAGCCCCGAGTGGCTCATCAGCGAGGACTGGGCGCTCCTGCAGGTGCGAGGTTCTGCTCGTGTTCGCCGTGTCGCGTGCTGAGGGCGCCGTGGGAGAGGGGACACCTGCCGGCTCCCAGCTCACGGCATTTCCTGGAACCCCTTCTCCAGGCTGTGAAGCAGCTGCTGGAGCTCCCCCTGAACCTCACGATCGTGTCGCCCGCCCACACCCCCAACTGGGACCTTGTCAGCGACGTCGTGAACTCCTGCAGCCGCATTTACCGCTCCTCCAAACAGTGCCGGAACCGCTACGAGAACGTCATCATTCCCAGAGAGGAGGGGAAGGTGGGTGCCGTGGCGCGAGTCGTGGACGCGCTCGGGCAGTGCAGGGTGCTCAGCGCTGTTGTCAGTCTCGGCGCCCACTGTCCACTGGGGTTGCGCCGTCCTGTTGAGTCCAGTAAACGGGTCGGGGACCTGTGCTGTGCTCGGTGCGCACCATAGAGGTCACGGCCATGAGTCAGCTGTGCCTGGCGTTCCTAGACTTGGCGGCAGTCCCCATCCCAGGGTCTGAGCTGATAGCAAACCTTTGCAGCCACTGTCACCGGGAGGGTAGAGTCTCATCTGGTGACATGGGCCAGCGAGTGCCTGGCCGTACCTTCTTTCTAAGGAGTTGTTGGATGAGTAACAACATCAGAAGTTTTAGTCTGCCCTAATGTACAGCCGTGTAAAGGGCAGTAGGTGAGTCTGTCCTCACTGCTTTTGCTGGAGAACAGGCTGTGGTGCTCTGACGCCCTGGTGCAGCCTGCGCTGGGGCACTGGGAACGTGGAGAGCACAGCTGGTAACGGGTCCTCCACTCGAGGAGCCGCTCCAGCTCAAGGGTCAGCCTGCAGTGAGCCCCATGCAGGCATCCCCGGGGATGCGTCTCCCGTCAGGGAACCTCGCCCGGCCGCTGTCCGCCAGTGTCGATGGTCACTTCTCATCTCCTGTTGTCCACTTTGTTTCAGAGTAAAAACAACCGTCCTCTCCGCACAGGCCAGATCTACGCCCAGGACGAGAACGCCACCCACACGCAGCTGTACACCAGTCACTTTGACCTGATGAAAATGACCGCGGGCAAGAGGAGCCCCCCAATCAAGCCGCTGTGCGTGCTTCATGCCAGCTTGAGCAGCACAACCGCTCTGAGCCCCGTGCTGGTTTCTCTCTGACCCTCCTCTCCTGTGCTGCTGTGTGTGGTCACTGTTGTCTCCTTTTCCATTCTGCAGGCTCGGCATGAATCCCTTCCAGAAGAACCCCAAGCACGCCTCCGTGCTGGCAGAGAGGTATTTCTCTACTTGTGGCCTGTTGTTTGCGATTGGACGTGACTTGCCTTCACTGCCCACTCCCACCCAGCAAAGGCAGCGATGAGCGTGCGAGTCTGTTCCAGGCACCCGCCAGACGGTGGCGTGGGGAGAGGCTTGCGTGTGGCTGTGGGCGAGACAGACGGCTCCCGGTCTGGCCCATGGAGTTAGGGTGGGGGTACATGACACGGCCCCCTTCAGGTGCCCGCACGTATGTGCAGTGCGTGTTCTAAGGACGGTCATGGCTCAGGGAGGTCAGGCAGGCTACTCTGTCACTCTGCCCCGGTCTGTCCACACCGCCGCAGGCTCGGCCCTGACAGTCTGTCCACTCCGGGATGAGCGCCCTTGCTGGGAGATGCAGCGGACACCATAGAGGAGTGGGTGGAGGGTCGGGGAGGTGGGTGCGCTCAAGCAGACAGCAGTGCCGACTGTGGACTCCTGTAAAAGCTCTTTGGCTTTCCACGTGTGTGATTTTTGTAAGAGAACGTTGAGAAGTGTGTATTCAGAGCACAGGTCTCCCATCACCTCGGGTCCAAGCCCTGTCCTCCCAGTGGTGCAGCAGCTCCCTGACCGCCCACGCTCTCTGACTGCCTGTGCTCTCCCTGACTGCCCGCCTTTCCCTGATGGCCTGCACTGTCCCTGACCGCCCACGCTCCCCCCTCAGTACTCTCCGACCGCCCGCGCTCTCTTTGACTGCCCACGCTCCCCCTGACTACTCTTCCCTGACCACCCACGCTCTCCCTGACCGCTCTCCCTGAGCATCTGTGCTCTCCTTGGGCTTTCCTCTGGGTCCAGTGGGGCTGCCAGAGCATCTTTTTCCAGGAGTCAGACCAGGTTCCTTCACTACTGAGAGATCTCATGCCCCTGGCTTGCTCTGAGGAAGACTGCAGGTCCTGCAGTGCCCACAGAGCCATGTGTCAGCTCCCCACCTGTCCACACCCACCCACGCCTGTCACCCCCACCTGTCCACACCCACCCACGCCCGTCCCCCCGTCCACACCCACCCACGCCCATCCCCGCACCACCTGTCCACGTCTACACCCATTCCCCCGTACACACCCATCCACGCCTGACCACACCCACCCACACCTGTCCCCCCACCTGTCCACAGCCACCCACACCCATCCCCCCACCTGTCCACACCCACTAACTCCTGTCCCCCCCCACCCATGCACACCCACCCACGCCCATCCCCCCACCACCTGTCCACATCCGCTACCCCAGCCCTGGTGCTTACCTCTGCATGGCTGATACCACGCGGCTCGAGGCCCCTCCCCTGGCTAAGGCTGCCCACTGCGCACCGCCTGGCTCTTGTTTTTCTCTGGTGCCGCATTCTCAGATGCTGTGGTGTTTTCTCCATCTGTTTACTCTATCTCCCTGCCGCAGAGGGGGCTCTGTGAAAGTCAAGCCCCAGTCCTGGGGCACTGTCTTAGTGTCTCAGGGACGCTGTAACAAAATGCCCCGGGGAGCTCCAAGGAGAACAACTTACTGTTTCACTGTCTGAGGCTGGGAGTCCCAGTCGGGGCCATGGCAGGGCGGTGCAGGGCGGTCCCGGAGGGAGGGAGAAGTGAGTGTGGTGCAGTGTGGAGACCCCGGTGGAGGCCTGGGCAGGGCTCTGGGGGGGGCGTGGGCTGCGGTGGGCTTTGGGGTGTGCGGTAGGAGGGACCTGGTCCCGTCTAAGGCCGGTGTGCTGGAACTTGCGGGTGGGGAGAGGGCGGGAGTGGCGGGCGACACAGTGAGCCCCGGCCTGGGGGCGAGGGTCTGTGAGGGCCGTGTGAGGTAGAGGGCCGTCCCCTCCCAGGAGGTAGGCTGAGCGGTCTGCTGCTGTGGCACAAGGTGGGCTGACGGGTAGGAGGGAAGGGGAGGCATGCATTGACGGCTGAGAAGTGGGCTGCACTGTCCTGGGGGCGGAGCCTCGGGACGATCAGGACTGGACACGGTGCATGGTGGGGGCCGGGCAGGGCCTGCGTAGGTGCGTGTGACCTGTCACGTGTGGTCGGATCTCAGTGGGGGCTGAGGCGCTGAGCCTCACTGCAGCAAGGCCTTTCTGGACGAGAGATTTGCAGGAAGCGCACTGTGGTGTGCTGGCGAACCAGACCGGGCCCACCTGGTGGGAGCAGAGGAAGGGGACCTCGGACCTGGCGTCCAGGTGTAGCCCCTCCTTGAGTTCCCCGGGTGCCTGTTGTTGGCTGGCCCCTGTGCTCTGTGCCCTCGTCCTGCCTCTCCCCTCTCACTGGAAGCAGCTGAGGCGTTTCTAGAAGAGGTGTCTCTTGTAGAACCAGCACGCTTGTATTAATTCTTTGCTTTTATTTTTCAGTGGGATCAACTACGACAAGCCCCTGCCCCCGATTCAGGTTGCATCCCTGCGTGCAGAGCGGATCGCCAAAGAGAAGAAGGTGGGACATCTTGGCATAGTGACTTGTTTGTAACAGGAGATGCTGAGTGTTAGCAGACCAGGGTCCTGCTCCTCACGCCCGGCTTCTCCCTCCCTTCCTTGTGGTCTAGGCCCTGGCAGATCAGCAGAAGGCCCAGCAGCCCGCTGTGGTTCAGCCTCCCCAGCAGCCGCCACCACCGCCACAGCCACAGCAGCCACCGCCACCACTACCCCAGCCCCAGTCGGTTGCCAGCCAGCAGCCTGCCGGGCAGCCGGCAGTCCCAGCCCAGGCCCAGCCCCCACCGCAGCCACAACCCGTGCAGCCACAGCCGAAGGTGCAGCCGGCGATAACCACGGGGGGCGGCGCCGCTGTACTGGTGAGCAGGTGCCCGTGCTTCCGACAGGGCCATCTCGGCCGGCACTGGCCAGGCACCCCCATGTTAGCGCTTGGTTGGTGTGAATGCTCACTGGGGCTTCTGTTGGTGTCCAGCCTGCAGACCGTCCTCAGTGAGGACAGCAGAAGGCCCTGTCTGTGCCTAGAGAACATGTGTGTTTGCCTGTATCCTCCCTCTCAGCCCCTACGGCTGTGGGGCACAGCTCTCTCAGCCCCCACGGCTCTGGGGCGCAGCTGTCTCAGCCCCCA